GTTGCTGCAAGAACCAGTACTTAGACACCCCAATTATGATAAGGATTTTCACATCTTCACGGACTGTTGGGCAGTAGCGCGAGCAACAGCACTCATGCAAAGAGATGATGAACCGAAAGATGCGTAATACGCTATCTCGTATGCATTCCGCATCTTCACGGAGAGCACAAGACGCTGGTCTGCAATACAAGCAGAAGTTGCAACGACAGTGTATGCATTATGAACTTTTAAACCTTATATCTTTATGTCTAAATGCATAGTGCATACGGATCACAAGTCTTTAGCTTATGTACTGAAAAAGTCGGCAGCACATCCTAATCTCACCCAATGGGTAACTGAACTCCAAAACTATAACGTCCCACAAAGTTTATAAGAGGAGAACATAACCGTGTAGCAGACGCCCTCTCTCGAGTGAATGAAGATGTTCCTCCAGCTTCAAACCACACAAATATTGAAGATATCATCGAATTTCCGCGCTGCTTTACTTCGGTCCCCTGTCACCCAAAATTAGTAGCAAGTAACGAAGTGGCGGACAAAATTACAGTCTGTAACAAAGCATGAAACATTCAGTTTATCGACATTGCGCAAGAGCAATAGAGCTAAAGCCAGTTATTGATTTTCACAAAAACAGAACCATTGTCGAACTAGAAAACCCAAAAGATACGAGACCCCTTTTAGCTAAAATAGACAGTTACTTTCTCGATGAGAAAGGGTGTCTCAAATGGATCCATCAACGGCAACTAAAAGGTTTCGAAACCATGGGACCTCATGCAAGATATGACTCCCCATCGGTTATACTTCGCAGACTACGTCCCTTGATATTCGACTATTTCCACCTGTCTCCACTTGCAGGAGGACATCTCAGCTTTCGTAAGTTACTCCAAAAAACAGCACAATAGCACTGGGACACCAAATATGCAGACATATATCGTTGGACTAAACCCTTTTTCACTTGTCAAATGCGTAGCAATCCAAAGCCATATCATTCACCACTTTATCCTGTCGAAGCTTGCGGTATGGAGCAAAGTCGGACTCGATTTATGTGGACCTTTTAAGATCACCGCACACGGAAATCAGTATATCCTTAATATAATCTGCATGTTCACTAAATATGTCACTAGTGTGCCGGTATCAGATGCCAGATCCACAACTGTGG